TAGAGTTCAATTATCTGATTAAAAGGAAAAATATGACTTCAAAGTGAAAATCAATGTTCCACATTTAAAAGTAAGGTGGTTTATTTTTTGAATCACCACAGTTGGGGGGCTAGGGGAGGGGTAGCATGGGATAGGGGGATGGGGAGGGGTAGCATTAGGAGAAATACCTAATGTAGATGAGAGGGTGATGGATGCAGCAAACCACCATGGCATGTGTACACCTATGTTACAAACCTGCACATTCTGCACATGTATCCCAGAACTTAAAGTAAAATAAATAAATAAATAAATTTTTTAAAAAGACAAATATTCATAAAAAGGAAGAAATTATGTCATCCCATTAGTTAGCTCTCTGACATAGTATTCTAATTAAAAATTATGGAGATCTGATAGATTGACATAATAATACATATATTCCAAATAGCAAAGAACAATTCTGTTTGTTCATAAAATTCCAGGAGATTTTAAACAATTGACTCAGAGCTATATACAAGCAAATGTAATTATGGATCTTTTTTTTTTTTTTTTTTGAGAGGGAGTTTCACTCTTTTTACTCAGGCTGGAGTGCAATGGCACCATCTCGGCTCACTGCAACCTCTGCCTCCTGGGTTCAAGCAATTCTCCTTCCTCAGCCTCCCAAGTAGCTGGGATTACAGGCGTGCACCACGAGGCCCAGCTAATTTTTGTATTTTTAGTAGAGACAGGGTTTCACCATGTTGACCAGGATGGTCTCAATCTCTTGACCTCGTGATCCACCCACCTCGGCCTCCCAAAGTGCTGGGATTATAGGCGTGAGCCACCGTGCCAGGCAGTAAATATGGATCTTTATGAAAATAAGAAATTATTTTCCAGTTTAACAGAAAATAAAAAATAAGAATACTTGGGTGAATAGGGGGTATTTTCTGGCATTTTAATTTCAAAATCCCTGAAGATAATTTAAAAATCTCCAGGGAACATTGTCATACAGTTGAATCTAATAAAAAACTCTTATGTAGCAATTGTGTGTGTGTGTGTGTGTGTGTGTGTGTCTCAACATGTTACCTAGCAATTTCATACCTAGTACTTGCCCAAGAGGAAAAAAAATAAATATCCACACAAACATCTAAACAAAATCTTTATAAGCATTTTTATTTATTACTGCCCCAAACGGAATCAATCCACATGTTAATTAGCTGGCAAATGTATAAACAAACTGTAGTACATCCATATACTATGATATTACTCAGCAATCAAAAGGATCAACCTGTTGATATTATAAACAACATGAATAAGTCTCAAAAACATTATGCTAAGCTCACAAAACATAAATAAAAGGCTGCATACTATAGAATTCCCTTTATATGATGTGCTAAACAAGGCAAATATGTAGGGTTGCTTTAAGATCTACTCTTTTTAAATTAATTTTATTGTGTATATTTAAAGTATGCAACATGATGTTATGGGATACATATAGACAGTAAAATTGTTACCATAGTAAAGCAAATTAACATATCCATCATCTCAAAGAGTTACCATTTTTTGTGACAAGAAAAGGTCAAATGTATTTACTTAGTAAAATTATTTACAGTGTAATTTTTATTAACTATAACACTCATATTGTACTTTAGATCTCTATCCTTGCTTATTATACTTATCTGCCACTTTGTATCCTTTGACCTACATTTACCTACCCATTTCCTCCCCACCCCCATAAACACTGTTTCATTCTCTATATATTTGATTTTTTCTTTTTCATTTTTTTTCATATTTCACAGATAAATGAGATCATTGAACATTTTTCTTTCTGTTTATTTCACTTAGCTTAATGTGCTATGGGTTCGTCCATGTGTGGCAAATGGCAGGATCTTCTTATAGGACTGAAAAGTATTTCATTGTGTGTATATATATGTATATAGATATTGTGTACCATTCATCCATTGACACATACATGGGATGTTTTCATTGGCTATTGTAAATAAAGCTGCAATGAACTTGGAAGTGTGGATATTTTTACAAGTGGTGATATCATTTCCTTTGGAAATATACCCAGGAGAGGAATTGTTTGGTCATATGATTGTTCTATTTTAATTTTCTTAGAAAACTTCATACTGTTTTTCATGACGGCCACACCAAAGTACATTCTCACAGTGTACAAAACTTCCCCTTTTCCACACACCCAGTAATACTTATTATTGCTTGTTTGTTTTGATAATAGTCATCCTGATTTTGAGATTGTTTTTCATTTTATAAGAAACAAATTTCAACATTTTAAGTAAATATTGGTAAAAGCCAGTAATGAATGTCCTCTATGGAATAAACTATGACACAGAGAACTACATATAAATGATACAGAAGTGATGGAAAAGGAAGAGAATAGTCCCTTTGAATGATATGGAAGATGAGAAGGGAAGTGCTGGGTAGAGGAAGGGTGTGGTCCCTGGCTATGGCTCAATCCTCATGGACCTAGGTGAGGACAGGCACTCCTGCCTTCATGCCCAAATGTTGCATTTCCCAAGACCACCCTGGCCTACCATGCCCCCATCCCGTGCCTATAGAAATCCCTAAGACCCTAGCAGGGAGACACGTAGGCAGCTGGACATCGAAAGGAGCACATCAGTGGAGGAACACACAGGCAGCTGGATGTGTAGAGGAATGCACCAACAGGCACTGGCCCACCGGCAGGCCACTGACCAGCAGAACAACACGGAGTTTTGCTGGGGCAGTCAGAAAAGCACTGGGGCTGCCATCTCCCCTCCAACCCCTGCCAGCTGCCGAGACCTACTTCCTCCCAGTAAAAGCTTGCACTCATTCTCCAGGCAAGAACCCCTGGATACAGAAAGCCCTCTGTCCTTGCAATAAGGCAGGGGTATAACTGAGCTGGTTAACACAAGCTTATAGACTTTAAAACTAAAAGAGCAAAACCAAAAGAGCACCCTGTAATACGTGGCCTCTGGTGCTTCAGTAGCTTTAAACATTCTGCCCTAGACACTGCCATGGGATTGGAGCCCCACAACCTGCCCTTCTGTATGATCCCCTAGAGATTTGAGCCACAGGGCACTGAAGAACCAAGTCACTCTCCCTGTTGCATGCCTTGCAAAGGACAAGGGAACCTTTTCTGTTTCAAAAACACGTGGAACTAATGACTATCCCATAACCAAATCAAGCTGAATGACAGGATGTTGTATGTAATAAAGAAGAGATTTTTTTGTATCTGTATGTGTAGCTACTCACATACAAAATAAATGTGCCAAATGCCAAATGATTATTGCTATGTTCCGAATTGTTTCCTCTTCAGAATTCATGTTGAAGACATAATCCCAAGTGTGGCTGTATTTGAAGATAGGACATTTAGGGGTTAATTAAAATTAAATGAGGTCATAAAGGTGGGATACTAATCTGATAGAATTGGTGGTCTTATAAGAAAAGGGGCTGATTCTTTCTTTCTCTCTCTCTCTCTTTCTCTCTCCCTCCCTTCCCACAGGCATACAACAGGGACTAAAGAAAAATGATGGGAACGAACTGAAAGAAGGTGGTGGCTATCTGCAATCCAGGAAGAGAGGTCTCACCAGAAACCACTTCTGAATTGGCTGGCATCCTGATATCAGATTTACAACCTCTGGAATGTTAAAAAAAAAAAAAAAAAAAATTCCTGTTGCTTGAACTACCCAGTCTATAGTATTTTGTGATAGCAATCCCAGCTGATTCAGACAGGTAAGTACCAAATAAATTTCTAATTATGAAACACTTTTTCAAAAAACAAGCATAAAACATCAAACATCTAATTTTCAGTGGGTATAAATTGAAATGAGAGAATATATCAATGTGCCATGCTGAGAAGATAAAGATCATGTTATCTCTGAATTTTTTATATTCTCCAAAGGTCAAAACTACTGCATCATAAAAATTGTAATGTCACAAAGCTTATAAGTTGTGTATTTTTATTTAATTTTTGCACATATAATATTGGAAATCTTACATTACTGAAGCCTGAAATGCTGAAATCAGGTCATGTTATTTATGATATTGACACTAGCCTAGACATTTTTAAAAATCCTAATCAATTGTCAATGGCTATAATGATTATAAAATTGCTTGTGAAACTAGTTTGTGTACGTACCCATAGTGGAAAGAGAATCACATTCACCACTCTTTATTCACTAAAAAGAGAGATGATATTAATCCTTTAAAATATTTGTATTTTATTTAGTATTTAGTCCTTCTCTGAAATGTGTTAGTCAAGGAAGACTTCCTAAAATGTAGATGTGTATTTAAAATATTATAAGACTTTAGTTATAACATTTATTTATAAGAAAAGTCACTGAAAAATTCTTAATGGTCTCAGAGCTAAAATGTCTAAGGAAATACTTGCTTCGGCAGAAGTTATAAGTAGCTACTATTTCCTGAGGACATGTTACATGCCAGAGTTACTACATATGCTATACTTTCATTCTCATAACATTTCTACAAAGCATATCCTAGTACTTCCACTTCACCAATAAAATTAATAGCTAACATTTATTAATTAGGTACCAGGTGGTAAGCACTGTATTTCACATGAATTAATTCCATTAGCGCCTATAGAAACAATGAGTCTTTCAGAGAGCAGTAGGGAATTATTGCCAATAATGAGGTAGTAAATGCCATTTCCACTTTATGGGTAAGGCAGCTGAAACACAGAGATATTAGGTGACTTGTCCAATATCACACAGCAAATGTGGGTTAAACTTTCCTGTCTCCTTCTGTGATTGCAACTTAATCACTGCTTAGAACATTTTGCCTGATGTTCTAAGCAGGAAGAAAATTCCTTAATGTCACCCAAAGTAACAAATTATCCCATTTTGACGCCAAAATTGAAATATTTCCACTCTATACCATATCATCATGTGAAATATATGCATTCACTACAACATATTGTGGTAAAAATATTTAGTGAATTATGCCTAATATAGCAATATAGTTAATAATTTTGTTTTTGGCCAGGAGGAGTCGCGCGCTGCTGCTGCTGTTGCCGCCGCTGCTCTCGCCGCTGTTAGGCTGCGCCCGCTTCTTCAGGGCCCAGTCCCTCGGACCCATCGCCGCTTCTAGACCCTACTGCGGTCTCGGATCTTGCCGGGAAAATGTCTGATGAATTTTCGTTGGCAGATGCGCTACCTGAACACTCCGCTGCCAAAACGTCTGCTGTGAGCAATACAAAACCTGGCCAACCTCCTCAAGGCTGGCCAGGCTCCAACCTTTGGAATAATCCAAGTGCTCCACCTTCGGTGCCATCTGGACTCCCACCAAGTGCCACACCCTCTACTGTGCCTTTTGGACCAGCACCAACAGGAATGTATCCCTCCGTGCCTCCCACCGGACCACCTCCAGGACCCCCAGCATCCTTTCCTCCTTCCGGACCATCATGCCCCCCACCTGGTGGTCCTTATCCAGCACCAACTGTGCCAGACCCTGGCCCCACAGGGCCATATCCTACACCAAATATGCCCTTTCCAGAGCTACCTAGACCATATGGTGCACCCATAAATCCAGCTGCAGCTGGTCCTTTAGGTCCATGGGGATCCATGTCTTCTGGACCTTGGGCACCAGGAATGGGAGGGCAGTATCCTACCCCTAATATGTCATATCCATCTCCAAGGCCATATCCCGCTCCTCCTCCTCCCCAAGCCCCTGGGGCAGCACCACCTGTTCCATGGGGCACAGTTCCACCAGGAGATATCCTGCCCCTACAGGATCGTATCCTACACCAGGACTGTATCCTACTCTCAGTAATCCTTTTCAAGTGCCTTCGGGACCTTCTGGTGCTCCACCGATGCCTGGTGGCCCCCATTCTTACCATTAAGTTAACAATGGATGAAGAAATGACGTTTTGCTTTTTGAAGTACATCTATATGCACATGAATGCATATATAAAAATTGCTGGTTTCACTATTAGAGGGCATTCATGAAAGCACAACTCTTGCACCTCTCAGAGAAGATAACTGCCTCTTGTACCTGGAGGTGTAGTACATCATATGTATACAATCAGATAAAAGCATAGAAGTAAATCATTCGGATGTGATTTTTATTTGGTTTTCATGGAAAGTTAAAGTGATTAAGTATATTGAATAGCTCTTTGACAGAATTTGTTTAAACTATGAAACTACACACTTAAAAATCTAAGATGATGTGTGGATTATTGTTAGAATCTGCGACTCATTGGCAATTTATTTCAAGTATTTTTCTATAATCACTTCCCCTCCAAATAAATACACTTTGAGAATAACCCCTCATATCTAAACAAATGATGCCTCTCAACATTTTGAGCTGCTCTGTTGGATAAATAAATCTGGTCCTCTTGAGGTTATATTTTGGATATACATTTTTAAACTGTCAGTAATTATTGTCAGATGTGAAGTTTAGTAGACAGCCAGTGTTCATTTTTATCCTTGAGCTTTTAATAAAACTTCCTTGTTTGTTTTTAGTCATATGGGCCATACAGCACTAAAATGTGCTCTTTATGGAAACTTTTTTCTTTTTAATCCAGGCCAACATGTATGTAAATTAAATTTTTATATAATTGATTATCTCTTTGTACTACTTGAGATTTGATTATGAGATGTGCATATTGCTTTGGAAAAAGCTCGAGAAAGGAAATAATTCTCTCCTTTGTTTTGAACCTCAAGCTAGAGAAACCCTAGGCATTGCTTAATTGCAACAAGTAGTTTTCTTTCCCACAAAAAAACTGAGGCAGCTCTTCTGCCCAGGGCATTCCCTGCAGCCACCCCCAACCCAGTTGCCCTTAGTTCTTTAGAAGGAGCACAGCCCTTGATTCCTCCCTGATGTGGTAAACTGGCACACTCTAAAGGTGTAAAACATAAAACAGTTGTGTTTAGAGAACCTTAAGTCATGCAGATATGACTGTTCTCTTTGTACAAGTGTGAATCAAAATAATGCATCTTTCAGAGTCTTGTTAAGCTATGTCATTGTCTCCTGCATAGTTTCCTGAGTCTTTTTGTAAAGTGCTTTTGGCTAACAGTTCAGTTCTGTATTTGTTGACAGGTAAATAACTGGAGTTGAGTGCCATCTTTGAAAAAATTACCCTCTAGCTCTAACACTGAAAATAATAAATTGTAGATCTCTGCAACTGAGTTTAAAGCAATGTGACTGTAATGCTTAAATGTTAATTATTGTTTATAACCACCAAAAAACAGCCCTAGTAGTTTTTTGGCACCTTATGTTTAAATCAGATTCTTAGATTTGGGGTAGACCTGACCTTGCTATTTATTAGATAACATTTTGAATGTATCCATTGGATTTCTAAAATGTATTGTGAATTTTCTCAAACAGGATTTATGTTGGAGCTCTGTTTTTACTTAGAAATAAAATATTTAGTTTATTTCTGCTCTAATTAAAATGTCAAGAATGCAAAAAAAAAATAATAATTTTGTTTTTAATTCTAGAAATTTCAAATCATATTATGAAATATATATGTAGTTATCCTTTGCATTTAATTCTTATACTGCAATCCATATGCAAATTTTTAAATATTGTTGGTAAGCATTTACTTAAGATTTTGATAGATTTGTTGATGAATTATGTACAATACTATATTATCTCGATACATAACAATTATAATTCTATGAATACATAGGTCCTAAGTAGCTAGATTCCTCAGATATCTCCTATACCTGTGATAGCATTGGCTTGATATATAAGCTGATTAAATTCTCAATTGCACTACAGTCAATTGGTCTCTTCTCTTGTCAAAGAACTATGTTATCACATGTTATTATTCTGGGGTAATCAGACATTCTGCATGGTATAGGAATAGAGTATTGGAGTTTTGGATACCTTTTGTTTAATACATGGGCTTTTCATATTGCTTACTCTTCCTTCCTTAATAGTCTTTTGAAACATCATAGGAGAACATTTGCCACTCTTTTTCATAGTTAATATTTCTGTATTTTCACATAATTGCATATTGAGATATATTCATAATTACCATTACTATACAACTTCTTTTAAAATGGTAGAAAAATATTAACTTTCAAATAGGTGGTTTAGACAAATATTTAGAGCCTTCATGAAACATATTTTTCAGAAAACTCAAAAAACTGTAAGGACAGAAAGAACAGAAAGCACATGGATTCTAACCTTCCAATTTATCCTTTCATCCTCTGATCAGTAACCCTGCTAAATGACTACCTAGCCTTCATTTTGATGTCTCAATAATGAAGAACTCTAAAGACAAAGCTTTCTAACTTTACACTTCTCTGGCTGTTTAAAACGTTTTCGTTACAGTGAAAACACTTGCCTTAATTCTATGTTTTAAAACCCTATATAACTGAAATATACATTTAACATAAAATTATGATGACAATAAACATAACACTTTTTCTGTAATAAGCTCTGGGCTCATCTCACAATCGCTTAGAAGAGTCCATCTTTTCCCTAAAAAAAAAAAAAAAAATTATTCATTAATACCTAGAAATTTTGTAAACTTTCCCATTGTTCTACAGTAAGATTCAACTGATCAAAAGACTTGAAGTCATTTACAACAAAAAATTTTAGCTTTTTATTCTTAACATCTTGTTTGAAAAGACAAAAAAATTAAACAAAGTTGATTTAAATACAAAGGTAAGGCACTGGTTGTATAATGGTATAGTCCAGGTACTGTTTGATTTGGAAGCCCAAATAACATCATCCAGACCCATTTCTCATCTGAGGTTTCATATTCCATTACATTTGCCTTATTCTCAGAATCTACGTGGGGCCCTCATCAACCAGTAAGAGATATTTTCTTTTCTTCTTCTTCTTCATGTTTTTCTTTTGGCCAGGTTAATGTAAATCAGAAAAGAAAATCTCTCTCTTGAGATTGTTCTGTTAGGATGGATTTGAGACAGCTGCTCATGTTCATTCAGCGGTGGCTGGAGGAACCTGATGCTGGGAATTATGTAATGCTCTGAATACAGCCTGGAACATTTTACAAACTCAACAGGTGTTCACTGTTTTTATTATTAACCAACTCTGTTTCATGCTACTTCTGGAGCTAAACCACATTTGAATTAAGCCAGTGGAGTATCATAGTAGTTATGGGTACTATTGGTTGAGAAAAGGGTCATGGATATTGCCCAAATTTGAATTTCAAACATCCACATCCACTGTCTGCACTGAGTGTTCATTTACTCTCACCAGCATTGTTCTAACATGTCCAATATTAAGATATTTTTTATGAGTAGAAGAGGAGACTCCATTTTTTTCTCATTTTTCACAAAATTAACTATATGTCTATTTTATCTACTGAGATTGTTTCAATGGAGACTATTACTACGAGGCTCATTTATATTTTCAATCTTTGTCTTCCTCTCTGCTTCAATCTTGATGATTGCTATTGATCTGTCTTCATATTTAATGAACTTTAGAGTCTAATCTACTGTTAAGTTCCCATAGTTAGAACTTTTGACTTTCAAGACTCTGTATTTTTTACTTCTAAAATTCCATTTGGTCCATTATTAGAGTATCAATTATGTCTAAAATTCCCAGCCTCTTAATTCATTAGATCCTTCTTTTCCTAAATTTGCTTTAAGTTCTGTATGATTATTTTGAAGTTGCCATATTTGGCTATCTCTTCCTGCATTATTTGCTTAGGAAAATGGCCTCCTGCTCCATCCATGTTGCTGCAAAAGACACGATGTTGTTATTTTTTAATGGCTGTGTAGTGTAACATGGTATATATGGTTTTTTGAGTTTTTTTTGTTTGTTTGTTTGTTTGTTTTTTTGGTACCATCTACCGCTGACAGGTGCATTTAGGTTGAGTCCATAACTTTATTGTAAATAATGCTGTGATGAACATATGTGTGCAAGTGTCTTTATAGTGGAAAGATTTATATCCCCTTTCGTATATACCCAATGCTGTGATTGATGGGTTGAATGTTTACTTGGTTTCAAGTTTTTTGAGGAATCACCACACTGCTTTTCACAATAGCTGAACAAATTTACATACCCACCATCAGTGTATAAGCATTCCTTTTTCTCTGCGGCCTCGCCATCATATGTTCTGTTTTGACTTTTTAGTAATAGCTATTCTGACAGTATGAAATGGTATTTCATTGTGCTTTTTATTTGCATTTCTCTAATTATTAGGGATGTTGAACATTTTTTATATGCTTATTGTCCATGTGTATGTCTTGTTAAAAAAAAGTGTCTGTTCATGTACTTTGCCCACATTTTAATGGGGTGATTTGTTTAATACTTGTGCATTTGTTCAAGTTCCTTGTAGATTCTGGGTATTAAATTTTTGTTGAATCCCTGGTTTGCAATTTTTTTTTCCATTCTGCTGGTTATATTTACTATATTTGGTCTTCTTGTTGAATTGAACCTTTACCATTAGGTAATATTCTTTCTCTTTTTTAAAATCATTGCTGGTTTAAAGTCTTATTTGTCTGAAATTAGAATAGCAACCCCTGCCTTTTTCTGTTTTCTGCTTGCTTTGCAGATTTTTCTCCATCCCTTTGCTTTTTCCCTATACGTATCATTGCAAGTGAGGTGGGTCTCTTGAACACAGTATACTGTTGGGTCTTGCTTCTTTATCCAGCTTGCCACATTGTGCCTTTTAATTGAGATATTTTGTCCATTTACATTCAAGCTTAATATTAGTATATGCAGATTTTTCCCTGTCATGATGTTGATAACTTGTTATTATGCAGACTTGTCAGTGTGATTGCTTTACAGTGCCAATGGTCTATATACTTAAATGTGTTTTTATGGTGACCAGTAATGTTCTTTCATTTCCAAAGTTAGCATTCTTTTAAAGGTCTGTTGTAAGACAGGATTAGTGATAATGAATTCCCTTAGCATTTGCTTGTATAAAAGGGATCTTATTTCTCCTCCACTTATGAAGCTTACTTTGGCTGGATATGAAATTCTTGGCTGGAACTTCTTTCCTTAAAGAATGCTGAATATAGATGGCCCCCCAACATCTTCCAGCTTGTATGGCTTCTGCTGAAAGGTTCACTGTTAAGCTGATGGGGCTACCTTTGTTGGTGATCTACCCCTTCTCTCTCACTGCCTTTACCATTTTTTCTTTCATTTTGACGTTGGAGAATCTGATGACTATGTATCTTGAGAAGGGTCATCTTGTGGGTTATCTGCATTTCCTGAATTTGAATGTTGGCCTCTTTAGTGAGGTTGGGAAATTTTTCATAGACAATATCCTGAAGTATCTTTTCAGGTTGCTTACTTTTCCCCTCTCTATTTTAGGAACGCCAATGAGACATAGATTTGGTCTATTTACATAATCCCATATATCTCAGAGATTTTGTTCATGCTTCTTCAATCTTTTTCTTTATTTTTGTCTTACCAGGTTACTTTGGAGAACTGGTCTTTGACTCTGAGATTCTTTCCTCAGAGATAGACTCTGGTTGATTGTGCTGTTAATACTTATGAGATTATTCTGAAATTTTTGAAGTGAGTTTTTCAACTTTTTAAGAACAGTTTGGTTCTTTTTGAAAATGGCCATTTTGTCTTTCATTTTCTGTATCATTTTATTGTATTCCTTCCCTGAATCCTCTTTTGTTATAGGAGACCTGGTCAGCATCGGTGGAGGGAGGAGCCACAGGGAGTCCTAAATGTGGGGGTATTCCTGAGGAGGGGCCAGTAGGGCATAGGGTACAAGTCTTACATAGCTGAGGACTATCCCTTAGAGAAAAGAAAATTTGCGCATAGGGGACCTCAATCTGTTTACCTTTGCTTTTACAGAACAGGTCTATTTGTAGAATGGTGTTATAATTTATACTTCCCTTAGGAGGCCAGGTTTCTGCACTCAGCAGAGGGTATGGTGACCACTCGGTTTGTCATAGAAAAATGAGC